TACATTTTCATGAAGAAGAAGTAGTTTAAATTTTTTATGTAGGTCTATTTCAAAAGTATCAGATCAAAATTGCTTTTAAAAATATTTTCATTTTTGGAATGTATACTTTTTGTTGGTTAATTGTGTGACTTTGCCTTACTTAAAGACAACATTCGTTGAGGTGAGCTCTGTAATCTCTGATTACCTATGTTTTTCAATTAAGTGTAAAATAATTTTTCTGGCCGCCATAAACGATACTATATGCCTGTATATATTTGTATATTCTTGTTTTTAAATAGTTGAAATATTTCTTTAGGCTATTGTTTATTTCTTCCTCAAATTGATTTAACTTCTCCCGTAGTTTTATTCATTACATCTGATGCATAGTCTGATCCTTTTCTGAAGAATGATGCTAAGACTGTAAGCTATGACAGAAACATAAACAATGTCTCTGACAATACATACAATGGGCAGTTTTAAACCTGTGGGAGGAAAATAATTTACAATTACAGACACAGTTACCTTAGTAAGCGAGACATAATTTTCACAAATAGTTGTTATTCCTCTATATAATCCTAAGGAATACTTTTATACCCGAGAATTAAATTTTCGCGAACGCATTGTCACACGTAATTACGCGAAAATAAAGTTCTCGCAAATAAAAAGTGATTTACAGTACCCAGTATAAAAACCTTTGACCTCAAAATCAAGGGGTGTCTTTAAGGTCATATAAGAAATTTTTATATAAAATTTTCATTGTGAAAGCAAAATCTCAAAAGCTGTTGAAAAAGTTTTGTTTGGATATAACAGTCTTAAATACATGCAAAAAGAATGTCAATATATGACTAAATTTTATTGAGAAAACTCAAAGAAAATGAAAGTTATCAACTGGAAACCCTCTTTTTGCAATCACGGGTACTTGTGGACAGGACCTTTTTCTGTCTTAGTACACGCTATCAGACTGACTCTGCATCTTCGTAGAATCCCACAATTTCTCCATAAACAGCATTCCAATCAAAGCGTTGAAAAATCCTTAGGTAAATGCAACGGAAGTGCATAGAGAATATTTTACCCATCATGATAACACCTGAGAGAAATTGTTATGTCAGACCAAAACTCTCTTGGCGTACTTCCTGTCCACAAGTACCTGTGTTTGCAATGTATGAATTTCTGCAATTGCAACTTCTCGGGCCTGTTCGACTAGTGGAAAAACGACCTCGAATGTACTACATGTATGTAGATGCCAGAGCAACACCACTTTTCACTAACTTTAAAATATATGTTGGAAGACCTCTTATCTGTTGAGCATGGAGTTTAACATTATTCAATGTAACGATTTTACCTAAAATATACTATAGAAGGGACTTCTAACTCATTCTATCTCTATATTTGAATAAACAGGAAGATGTATAAATTTTTAACATCTGGTCATTGTGGTGGTATTGATACATTCGAGGTTGTTTTTCCGACCTATGACGAAAAGAACTGAAATGATGCAACTTTGAGTTTCTGATCTAAACACACTGACGTAAAAAATTATAGAAATCTTCTTTAGGGCATATGGAGTTGTGGTATATAACTCATTCCAAAAGCTCAAAGGTTTTAAAGACATCATATGGAAAAGAAAGTATTATACAAAGACAGAAAGTGTAAGTTTCTGACCTTGACTTTTGATCTCTTTACCTAAAAATTTAATGGTTTTAAAAGGCTATAGGGAGTTGTGAAATAAATTTCATTACAAAAGCTCAAAGGCTTTTTCAAAATATCCTTCAGAAAAGAGAGTGTTACACCCAGACAGATGCAAATTAATACCCCTCATTTTCATTAAAAGTGCAGGACAAAAATATAGCTAAACCTGATAAACTTACATTGTCTTTGTCCATGAACAACCAAAACAAAGTGGTCAGTATCAAGCATTCTTGAAATTTCTCCTAAGCTTGTTGCCATGGATACCTGAAAATGTACAAAAAGTGGTCAGAAATTATTTCATATGCATCAATATTGTATAAAAAAAACAAGAAAACCGAATTATTCCTACCATTTTAAATTGTTTGTACATGACTTTAGAAACAGGATCTGAAGGTTTGATCTTTGACCTCACGACCTGAGCCATCATATTACCAACTGTCACCATACCCATGATGTCCCTGGACAGAAAAAGAAACCTTGGTTTAATTCAAAGTCAGAGTCTGAAATTAACTTGATTGCATATGTCTATGATCACATTGAGTAGTGTGTCCTACAAGTTTGGAAAAGCTTTCTTTGAAAATAAAAGCAATATGTTTTGCTTGGATTTGTTTTTTTTTTTTTTTTTTTTCTTACCCTGCATCGTTAACAACTGGCACTTGGTCAAAACCCACTTTGTTGAGAAGTTCAAGCGTCTCCTGGATCGTGACTGCTGGAGTCACAGTCAGAGGAGCTCTTAACTGAAGAGCACTCACATTTAATGAGGACCACCTTCAAAAGACACAATATTGTAACAGAGTTATTTTATCAATTGTAGATTTTCATAATCTTTTACTTGTTCATTCAAATAAAAAATAAAATGCAATAAAACAAGGAACCATGAAACAGTTGTGAATTAAAATAGATGATACATATATACATGCACCATTTAGCACACCATTAGAGCACAGTGTTAATGTTATCCATAGTGATCAGCGGTCACATTTTAGTTTGTGCAGGATGGATGAAAATGAATGAAGTTAACACCATCTCATGAATTTGAAATTTAATAGCTGACATGAGGTTTAATTCATTCAACTACAAAGTTCAGTTTTAATATCATGAAATTTTATTTCATTAATTGTTCATTTAAATATTGCTTATTAGAGTCTATATCAAATTAAAGAAACAAACTTAACAATGTAACTGTTACAATTCCTTACAACTCATCAATATTACTGAAATTTAAAAAATAAAGGCAAATAGCTCCCAAAAAATATTGCTGAGCTTACAATTGTAAAATGTACATGCTTACAATTAATGAAAAAAAACTGAAGCAAACCAATTCAAAGAATTTGTTTCTCCTGATTTAGGAAAAAAGACTTTTTGAAAGTGGGAGACAAGAATTGGTACAAAATTATGGAAATAAAAAAATGTCAATGCAAAGCAAAAGCATGTCATATATGCATGAAACCTCTAAGTTAATAATTGTTCATCAGAATCTGACAAGCTAAGGTCCTAAATGTCTTCTTTAATAACCTTAGTCTTGTTGCTTTTTCCAAAATTTTAGAATCAATGCAGATGAAAAGTTTATGGCCCAGGAAGCAAGTAATTATCAACAAAAGGGTTACAAGAGAGAAAAAAATTTCTTATTCTTGTCAAATGTAATATACAGGAAAACTGAATCTAAGAGGAACAGTTCATGTTTTCATGAAAAACAAAACTCCCAAATGAAATGATGAAACAAGAGAATGTTGAAGGTGCCATTGCCTAAATATTTAAAAATATTAATTCAAGTAATTTGCACTTCAAAGTGTTTTATAAGTTTTGTTACTTAAATCTAGCTTTATCAGTATGCACAACATTATCTCACATTTCTGAGAGAGTGCAAAGTATGATTGTACAATTACACCCAACAATGCTGACCTGTTCTTTCCATATGAACTGTCAGAAAAATTGAAATAAAAAAAAAATAAATATTAAAATGCAATCTGAAAGGTCAAATAAAAGATTTACTTAAATAAAAGATATTCAATTTACTTCATTTTTTAATACTATATAAAGTGCTAGTTATCTGGAAGTTTAGAAAATTGTCTACCTAGGCCTTATAAAGTTTCTTTGATTTTAAGCATTACAAAATTTTCAATTAACATTAAGTCTGTCCAACCCTCTTTTTATTATTGTTATGTGATTATATAAAGTGATTTGTTTTATCATTCTGTAATACAGTTGAACTAGGGCATCTTTAACACTGATATCTCAAATGTCATGGATATGTGGAAGTACTGTAAACCAACTATTATTCGCGTCATCTTTTATTCGCGATTCGTCAGTTTGAAATCAATCCGCGACGTTTTTTTTCCGCGAGCGAGGAAACATTCTCTACAAATCCTTAGCAAAATGAATGCTTCGCGGTGATTAATATTCGCGGGTTAAAGGAGGTCGCGGAACTCGCGGATATTTCTCGCACGTGAATAAAAGTTGGTTTACAGTAATTTGGAAGTCTTTAGTAGTCACAAATAATTTATGATTATATTCTCAATATTTTCAATCCTCAGATATCTTAATTTCTTGGTCCCGTCCACTTGACATATCGGTAACAAGGTTTGTTTATGTGTGTACAGTCCCCAAAAATTATTGCCTTTAATTGTTTTTCGCAATAAATGCACACTAACATGCTGGTATCTAAGCATGATGAGGACATACCATTCGTCTGTATCCTTTGTTAATTTGCTGGACTCAAGGAATTCCCTCTGACTCATCCAATCATCACTCAGAAACTTAGTCCTAAAAATAGAGGAAAATTAGAATAATTTCTCACCAACATTTCAATCATTTCATGATTTTATATAACTCCACAACATAATCTCCCTTTCTCAAAGAAAATATATATGTTTGTGTCATATGAGTACTTACACTATTCCAATGTCTGACTATTTATACTTTTCGTTACAAATAAAAAGCACTAACTTCTTGCACCAAGGAACAAGAGTGTAAAAGAGATTTATATCTACTAATTACTGTGAAATCACTAATTTTCATGGGGGGTTAATTTTCGTTGCTTTCGAAGGATAATGAGTCCAACAAATTCATGACCACCATAAAATGTAAAATTTAATATAGCCATTACTACTCAACACTTCTCCAACCACAAAATCAAATCCCCATATGTCATTAATTTTCCTCAAACCTTGAAAATTTGCCCCCCCCCCTCCCACAAAATATGTGAATTTACAGTATTAAATAGAAAAAAGTTTACACTGTACAAATGAGATTACTGCAGTAAATACTGGAATAAAGTAGGACTTACATATAGTTCCTGATGGAGTCTGGCAGGATCACCACACATCTCTGTCCTTCCCTCAGTCCAAAGTCCTTCGCTGCCTTAATGGCAATAGACATTGCTGAACCAGAGCTCCCACCTACATGTATCCATTCACAAAAGTATGTTTATAGTATCTACGCACATTTCCACTTATTCACCTGTTAGGCTGTTTACAATAATGGAACTGAACATTGTCACTGATTCTAAGGAAAAATTGTCTTTGAACCCTCTTGGTTGAATAAACTGCATTGCATTCCAAAGTCTTATCCATTCATAAGGAATGAATGTCATATAATCAATTTTGGTTTTTTCTTAACACAAAATATTACTAATTGGAAAATGGTGTTCTTTCCTTTATACAGGGATGAAGAGAAAAATGTAATATTATAATCATTTTAGGTAACAAAAAATCTTTTGGATTCTAAGTAAAAATACAACTGCTTCTTCCAACAGTCTTCTTTTGTTCAGAATAAAATAGTGCATTTTATCTATATTATATCAGTGTTGATGTACAGTATAAATACTTACCACAAAGTAGCCCTTCTTCCCTTATCATTCGTCTAGCCATGATGAAAGATTCCTTATCATTGGACTTGTACCATTTATCAACCAGCTGAAAATTATTTTAAAAATAACACTACACATAAAGTTTAAACCTCTCTATTTCCTTTTACAATATAGAATTTACCATATAATCAACAACTACTTCTCTGATAATCAAGTATAAATTCAAAACACACATAATACATATTCATCACTTAAAATTATTAAGTACTAAATGAAATACAGTAAACATTGGTTATAACCAAGTTGCTGAGACCTATGAAATAACTTTGCTACATCTGTAATTTGTTATATCTGTCTAAGGAATTTGTTAAATTTATATAGCTGGGGATCCAAGACAAATTTGCTTTATTCATGAATTTGCAATATCGGTGTTTGTACATAACAAGTTTTACTGTACAAACTTTAAATAAAGTTCTGATATAAATATACTTAGCAGTTACGTTCCCAGTACCTTTCTGTCACACACGGTGGGGATAAAATCATACCCCACACCCTCCACCTCATAGAAAGTGGTGTCTGACTTGTTCAGGGACTCTGGTTCTGCAATGACAGACCCCTCTGGATCTAAACCAATTACCTGTTTGTACAAAAATTTAAGTTTATAATATACAATAATCTGACATAAATTAAAAAATAAAAGGGAGATTTCTTAGCCAATATAATAACTAAGTGTATTGATTTGAATCATTTAGTCAAGTTAGGAGTAAGATAAGTTTTAAATAATTAAATTTTCTGAGATCAACATGATAAAGTTCATCATGGTTCAAAATTATTTTAACTTGCATCTGTGTTTCATAAATTATTTCTTCTACTGTGTACACTAACAATTTTTGTATTGTTCACTGTCACCTACACTGAAGCATTCACAGTCATTTTATGATCAATACAGGTACTTACTTTACAGTTGGGACATCTGAGCTTTATTTTACGTGCGACTCCAGTGAGAGTTCCACCTGTACCAGCTCCCACTACCACCATATCTACTCTGTCTGTAACAAACAAGGCAGTAAGGATCAGATCATGCCATAGGTACATGTTCTTAACAAAGTAACAAATAAAAATAGATCTAACCACCCTCTTCTTGAACACAAAATGTGGTATTTATACTGACCATCACAAGCCTGGAGAATTTCCTCAGCAGTGCCATCAAAGTGAGCCAGGGGATTGCTTGCATTGCGATACTGAAATTAATAATACACAGTGTTGATGATGGCATGTTATTTGTGACTCAAGACCTCTTACAGGGTAATGCTTCTGTCTAGTTCTTCTTTTTAGAAATAAGCTAATTAAAACTGACACAATTCAGAAATATTTCTCTTTTTATTGATTGAAAATTCATTGCACTTGAAAATTTAGTCAAATCACCATCATAGATTAATAGCTTAATAAATATTGCTAATAAATTTAATATGCAATTGACATGAACATATAAATAACAAGTTTACCTGATCAAGAATGTGTGAGTTGGGAATTTCCTCCATCAGTCTTTTAGCCACCCCAATGTGAGACTCCGGGGAATCAAAGGCGGCACTGGTGGGAGTTCTCACAATTTCGGCACCAAGAGCTCGCAAGACATCAACCTATACAATGCATTAATTCAGTTAGATATTAATAATTTCTTAACTTTTTCTCTGCTCTGAAAACAGTCCTTTTTAAAATTTAAAAAAAAAAAAAAAAAAAAAATGGCCTTTGCATCTGGGCCAAAAAGAATGATATAGCATATATGACCTATGTTTTGTGGATCCAAAAGAGCACTTTTTAGCTTCAAATTAAACTTAACTTCAACAAATGTTTGAACAGCAACTTCAAATTTTCAAAATGAAAAGTGAAAATAAAGAAATTGTCTATAGCCTTGAGTACTTAATTCATTTAACATGGAACACGCATTTGACTTTAAGTAAAAGTCATTACCTTTTCCATACTCATTTTTTCAGGCATCACAATTATGCATCTATATCCTTTCACAGCAGCAGCCAAGGCAATACCAATACCTGAAACCCAAAATCAGGTCAAGTGGATTAAATACTTAAAATTTTTTCCAACCTCTTATAACGAATCAGTAATATTGTAATATATGTAATGTGCAAATAGGTAACACATTTCTCTACTTGACTCTTGCAGATTTATGATAAACCAGAGAAATTTTAAGTCACTAAAAATCTTCTTCAATGTAAAGTAGTTAAGAAGTTGCAGATCAGCACTAGATCTGACCTGTGTTGCCTGAGGTTGGCTCTATGAGGACGTCCCCGGGTTTTACATGACCTGCTGCCTCAGCATCCTCTATCATCCTCAGTCCTATCCTGTCCTTCACACTCCCACCAGCATTGAAAAATTCACACTTAGCATCTAAAAAAACATTAAGAAAAAACTTCACATAAAAAATATATATAGCATCTAAAAAATCAAAACCAGTAGATGAAAATTTTAAACAGAAGATAATACATGTATATAAAAGGATAATGCATGTAGGTTCATCAATTAAAACTCTCAAAAGAGGAAAGATAAAATCATTAACCAAAATTCATTGGAAACTGCATTCTGCAGAGCCATTTACAATCTACTTACATTTATATCATATTCATGTACATATGAATCAAATTCATTTCCTTGAGTGATACAGACTATACATTGAGTAAAAATTAGTGAGACCCTAAACCTCTGACTTAAGTAATTATATTTTACTCACAAATATCACACTGGAGATCTTCTTCCTTTGTTATTCTGTTGATCCTAACCAGTGGAGTGTTACCAATATTGTACAGGACATTAGGCATGATCTTTGGTTTGGGTTTTCTAAATGGAAATTACAAGTACCGTATGCAGTTGCTTGTATTAAAACTATAGGAATCGTTAAAGGGCGAACATGGTAAATACAACATTTTTTTAGGCAAATAAAATCTTTGATTCTTGATTAAAGTGGTCTTGACAGAAATACAAAATCATGAAAATGCTATTTATATTAATATTATGAAGAAAGATTCCACATGGCAACAATTATTTCTTTTATAATGACATATGGTGGAACCAGATTTCATGCTTACAACTCCTTGTGGTTGTGAGGGGAGTCTTTCATGGACTTAGCCTCGTAGTATGTGCATTTACTGGGCAGGTCCGGTCTCTGCCAGTTACGGAAAGGGCTGCTACCAGCTACGGGACATTTCTTCTCAGACATTGTTACCTTAAAAAGAGCATTAAATTTATATTATCAAGCAATTTAAATTAAGTAGTCTAGTCTTTCAAAATAAATTCAAGCAAAGAGACCAATGGACCAAAATGCTCAACTGCATGAGTTAGCTTAGCATAAGTTTTCCATCGGCAGTTTTTTTCCTTATAGGTAATGTCCTTATATCTAATTTTTTGATTGCCTGTTGTGGCTTCTTCCCAACCCCTAGCAGCTTTGATTAGAAAAAAAATGAATCTAAACTAGTGACTTTATGCTTTTACATTAATATGCCATGACTAATCATAACTTTGAGCTTCGTAAAAAGAAGATATTTAAAGAATTCATTAGTAAAACACTGATCCCCAATTTCTCTACCCCCCCCCTCCCAAGTCATGATTTGAACATACCTGAATCGTAACATGTACTATATCAGGATGTTTCCAGAAGAAGATTTCCCATTTATGTGCTATTTTTGAGAGGAAGATTTTAAAGGAATATTTCCTATTATTCATTGAAAAATTTGATTATCCATTGTGTCCCCACCTTACCCTGGAGGCTGAATATATAATTTAATATGTTTTACGGTGTTACCGTTGAGGCGAGCGCAGTTGTACCATCAAAACACTTGATAATAGTATTGATCAGCCACTTCAAACATCAAGTCGCACGAGACATCTCGACTAGCTGTGACGTCACACGACGTCACGGTCACGGAGCTCGTTGGAGCTTACGGAAACGGCCGAGCGTCTGGTTTAAACTATAGACCTAGCACAATTTTGGTCGAAAAACATCGCAGAGTTATTTTTTGTTTCTTTGAAAGATTTCTACAAACTGAAAGCTTTTTATGCTTTACGTTATTGTTTATTTATTTATATATTTCACGGAAGCAAGCGGCATGACTTAATTAGCATATCGTCAAAATTCGCAAGTTTCCGGTGACGTCATATGTATCATTTCCGAAGGGCAAGGTGAAGGCCAGTGTTGTGGCATAGAGGTATTTTTTTGAATAAGGCAAGGCAAAATCATTTCGTTAAGTTCTCGGTAAGAAACAATGTTCCTTTATTTTTTTAACTATTTTTGATTTATTCGCGCAAAGGACATTGGGTAGTGCAGGAATTCTGGGAATGTTTCACAGAGAAATTTGCCTGACGTATGTACAGATTTCATTCCGAATTTCCTCTGTTCTTATACATTAGTCTATTGAGCTCGCTTCGCGAGCTTTGCTTCGCGACGCTCGCTGTGCGCTCCCTATAAATATAAAGTTATAAACTTTTCTCTATGTCAGGAAACTTTGAATTCACATATTACAAGTTTACTCATTTATAATCAAGTGGTTCTTCATCAGATTTTTGAAGACTTCCAACAAAGTTTTATTGACTTTATATGGCAAGATTTCCCGAACCACTTTGTGTAACACTGGTCTGAGATTTATGGTTAGTACAAAATTTTTAATCTCAACAAATATTTGTTGGTGAATGTGATTATACTATAACTAGGATACACTTGAGAAGAGTCACAGTGCTCTGACGGGTTAAAAGAGGAAAGTGAGAGAAAGTAAAAAAAAAATCAATAGAATGAAAAGGAAATAGTAGAGAAACAGTATTCACTACCCCCCCCCCTTTCTTTTTTTCTTTTTTGAGTTAAATAGTAGTCAGAGACAATAATTTATAAAATACCTTTGATGTCTCTGATATCCTAGTAAAGTACATCCAACAAAAAAAAAATCTTTTTCTGAGTCGATATCGACTTACGTGTTCAAGAATCTTGTTCCAAATTACGCACTTACGACCCTACCTGATTTTACTCAATACTGAAAGATGAAGTTTAAGAATAACGATAAAATGTTGTCCGACAATTAGGCCAATCCTCCACGATTTGTCAATTCGATTGGACGAAATGTATTTACCCACTACGTTGTAATCGTCTGACCTTCACCTTCAGGAAGTCACCTAAGGCGAAACAGAGTGGGAACTAATTACCCTGAAGTCACATGGATACCTGTGATTCGGGATAATTTTTTTAACATTAATGCATTTACCAAATGTTCTATATAATATATTTATGAAGCATTATTTAAGTTAAGTTATAAATATTCATTCAAATTTAATCTTGAGTCCTCTTGGGTTTCTTTTTTGGTAAATCGGGGCTTTCCGAATACGCTGATGTACGACTTATCTAGACTCTTTATATGATTCCCGCACGGGAAAAATAAACACTTGAATTTCGTCTGCTGAAGTGGAAATGTTACTAAATTTGCTGACTTTCTTCGTAATAATTCATGGTAAGAAACATACCTCATTGTGTGTAATTTTATTTTGTTACTTTTTTGAAAATTGCATACGATAAAACCCAAAATAATAACCCAATAGTAATAACTAGGCCTAAAACCAGTAGGCCTAGCCTTCTGAATATCGAGAATTTTTATTTGTTTGTGTTTTGTTCAAGAAACCCCTATTTTCACTGCATTTGTTTTGTCATAGATTAGACCTATTGTTCTATTTCTTAATAAATAAGGTTTATATTAGAACACATGCACAAGTTCTGTAATAATTACAATAAAAAATGAAATGAATTAGGCAGTATATCCTCCCTCAATTCTCTTAATAGAAATTATATGGAGAGGCATATGGATGTAAGCTTTTAATACATGTGCACTTCTCTAAAGAGAAATCTGGTCCTCCATGTACTTTTGATATTATGGAATAGGGAATGTCCTCTCAAACTTATGTTGTACATACCACAAAGCTTGACAGCTAGTATGTACCTAAAATCAATAATTTTATTCTCCCCTCCCCGTGTCTCTCTTCTTCAGGCTTATTTTGTAGTTTAGTTTTGAGAAGAATATATTAGATGCATCAGTGTAGCCTGATGATCGAACTCTAAGCTGATATGATAATTTCTAGAATGATCTGATTTCATTTGAAATGTTGATTTAAACTGTACCATGTTTACAGTAAAGAACTGCATTTAATGCATCTCATCAAATTATATGCATATGGAAAAAATACAGAATAGTGTTTTGTCGCCCTTGTGTGGCAGTGGTAAGAGTATTTGCTGGAGTTGTAGAGTAAGGAATTGAGCCTTATGTCGCAGGTTCAGATCCCAAAGAAAAAGATCCCTCACTGCTTAATGGCCCTGAGTGCAGAGTATCTGTAGCTATATAAAACAAAATTTGCAGTTATCCACTGGCAAATGGTGGCGCTGAACAAATCTCATAAGGGACATTAAACAGTATACAAACAAACAATATATAAATGGTGCCTGTTTTTGAGGGTAACATTTGAAATTGACACCCCAAGGAAAACTATTGTCAACCGACGCGTCAGCGGAGGTTGACAATGGTTTTCCGAGGGGTGTCAATTTCAAATGTTATCCTCCAAAACAGGCACCATTTATTTTATTATACTGAATGTCTTATTGATTTAGCACGTCAGCAAAAAAAAAAAACCATCGATCATCTTTACGTTCATGTATAGAAAGCTTTCACACTCACCGGTTCACTAATCTCCTTATTGTTTGTTTGATACTCAAATTAGAGTCATTTATCATATAAAGTTTCGTTATTTCTGGCTCGCAAGCATGTTTCCTACACTTGCAAGCATGTATCGTCTGTCGTTTGTTGTTTTCAAGTAAGCTATATCGGACGCAAGCTTTTATTGACATCAAGTTAATTCCGGTTCTTTCAAACGCGCAACTGACGTTTTGAGAATTCTACGGTGAACCGTACGCGCATAATTTCCACGCATGTGGCATTACCGTTGTGTTACCCGTTGTCATGTGTGTTGCTAAGGCTCAGGGTAATCGAACGGATTGTTAACTGTGTCTAAACCAATCAGATTTTAGTATTTAACATGAAAGTATAATAAAACATATTATTTGAACCTGGTCCCCCCTTGAATCTTCAGTCAGGTGCCCTTCCCACTTAGCTATCTGGCCACTGGCCATTAAACCTGTCTGAAACACAGACCATTACATTATGATATGAAGCTTTCAGGAAAAGTACACTTATAGGGATGGACAGAGAGGAATACTTTGAAGGGAATGTTTACTGTTGTAGTTTTACAATGGGAATATTGATGTTAAAGCAATGGTGTTCTTATTGTATACTTATAACTTGAAAAACAGATCTGTTTGAACTTAGAAAAACAATGCCTTGATTATTCTATACTTATATTGTTTCAGTTTTCCAATACACACTTTAATTTACTTGACATATTGATTTCCTGCTATTAGTTGTTTGTACTTATTTTAATAATGAACAAAAAGTTCATTAATCATGCCAGTAAATGATCATTATTGGGCAAGGTAGAATGATCATGATGTGTCAGAGTTTTTTTCCCCTCTAACCCCATGACACAAGAGGGTACTGGCGGGATGCACATTACCTGGGTGCATAATTGATTAATTAACAGTAGCATGCTTCTGAGTTACTTTATGATGTTCATGTTTAAAGGAGATAATCATTGGCAAATCTCTTAGGATTATTTGGTTGATGCATTTTTCATAAGGAGATCTAGTCATGGACCCCTAAAGGAAAAAAAATGTTACAGCAAAGCCTTTTGATTAAATTGATGAATTGTAGAATTGAGGAAAATTACTCTCAAAGGAACTCAGACAGATCCATCTTTAAAGAAAGAAAAGTACATTCATATATATCTTCAAATCTCATTTTTCAAATGTGTATATTTATTGTTCATTATCATGGTTACATTAATGATATAATATTGATCTTTACATTTGAAAGAGGAGATAAAGAGAAAATAAGAAAGGGAGATAATTAAGAGAGAGGGGGATAATAATGATTGAGGTGAATTCATGTCCCGGGGTATAAAATAACGAGGAAGTATTCATCATCCTGAGCTTGCTCAAGTGACTAAACAGCATTTCTCAGTAATCATGAATGTCTTTTTTTCTAATCAAAGGTCAGTAAAGATGTGAAATACAATACCACATAGCAAAATTTTAAATTAAAATCATTGATGAAGATAATGCAATGTTAATTGAGAAGGACACTCCTCCTTAAAATTGTTTGGTTTACCCAATCAGATCTAGATCACTTGATCAATCATTGTGTAAACTTTAGAAAAGAAATAGGATAGAAATAATCATGTGATAAAAGATGTCACTATTTCCATTATCATTCATGTTAATTAAATTTTCATGACTCTTTAAATAATTCCATTCTTTCTGAATATGCTCCATTTAAGAGCTGAAGTGTGATGATGCTAATAATCAGCTAAATAAATCAATATTTCTCTCTGTCTCTTCCTTCAGTGACACTGAGCCTATTGACATTGAGGGGCCCATATAACCACACTGCAGTGGTCCAGGACAATGTAACGCTGAGCTGTAAGCTGTTAAAGGATGGAGAAACTGTCATCAATCTTCATAAAGTGGGAGAACCCTATAAACTGGTCTGGAATTTTACAGGTAGGAAATTAATTCTCTCAGCTACCATTTTATAGGTAGGAAATTAATTCTCTCAGCTACCATTTTATAGGTTCTCAATATTAAAAAAACAATCTGCTTAAAGTTAAATCTTGAAAGGATTGGATGCTTTTCATATTCTTTAAAATTTACTATTTTTCTGATTCGTAATTCATGTTTCCTTGAAGTCTAAAAAGGGAGGGTGTGTAGTAGCTACTACAAAATTGTAGCTGGATTAGTGTTAATGTACAGAACAAACACAGGTACGTCATATACTCTATGACCTCTAGCTTACATGTACTAATTCCCTTGATACAGGTAGTTATACAAGTACAATGTAACAGATGGACTACTACATGTAGTATGGTCGGGGTGTGAAATATTCTTAAAATATGTAGATCCTGTCCATGGCCAGTTATAAGTATCTGAGCACAGGGGCATGCTCCTGGTGTGTATGATTATATTTATTTTTAAAAATCATATTGATATTCAGAAATATTACCATGATTACTGAGCAAGCCCCTGTGATTTGAGTGAGAAAATAGCTGACTGAGCCATGCTCTAAATGCTTCACATTATCATTGCTAATCTAAATGTAATACAATGTAGTGCCCTTATCTGAAGTGACTGTATGTTTTTTTATTTACTTTCAAATACAGGTTAATATATCAATTGAAAACAATATTATTTATAGATTTAAGTTTTAACCATGATACAACATGGACAAGTAAGAATATGTACAAATATTTGAATTAAAAAATTCCATAAAATTGCAGATGCTTTGCTATGTCACAATGATCATAGGGGCTTAATATATTCTTTGGCGAGGCTAATAGATTTGTGTAAGATTGTGGAATGTGCAGACAGAACCTGGGCTCTGACACAGACAGGGAGTGTTATATATTACGTGTAGATATAAGCATTCATCTGCACAGCAATAAAATTTCTTAAAGTTATGATTTACATGTACAGTGTATTGTACCTGGCTGCATTATGCATGGGTAGGTTTGTTTTAAAATTGAATGGGAGTCTAAACCTTTGAAAAATTTAAAATACATCACAAATTATGAAATAATTTAACCACTATGAAAAAGCAGTAGGTAAACATAAAGTTTGTCATTCAATGAGATATTTCCTCCAGACAACTTAAATGAAGTGAAAGCATACAGTGCAGGGACTATAAATTATTTATAGATAGAAAAGAGTTGTCTTATTTACCAGTAGTATTTCAAAATCATTGATAATTTTAGTTCACATAATCTAAAAGCTCAAGTGAGCTTTTCCGATTACATTTAATTTAGTCGCCCTCATGCCGCAGTGGTTAGAGCATCTGCGCTAGAGTCACAGAGTAAGGAAATGATCCTTATGTCATAGGTTCCACTCCCACTGTGGGACGTACGTAGAGACTGGTCCTTTGTATAAACCGAGATCCCATGTTGCAGTAGGTGCTGGCATGAAAAAGATCCCTCACTGTAAATGACAAGTATAGGACAAAATTTGCAGCTCCACCTATGGTGCCATTTTCATATGAATGAAAAA